AAGTCTAATTATATTAGTTATGAAGAGATATATTAAAAAAAAAAATCTTTCATCAATTAAAATAAAATAATTAAAGAATATATAATAAAAGATAATTTTCATGTTACAAATCAATCGTGATTTTGAATTAAATCGAAATTCAAAATCTCATGTTGCAGCGTTTATAGTACAACTATTACAAATGTTGTCTCCATTCATGATTATTATGCGGACTCGATTACACCTTGATTTGAACCCTAATGAACTTGTTAAAAGAGTATGGGTAATGAACAGTTGGAGATGTAGTTGGCGTAATAGTGGTTCTTTTGGATCATATGATTTGAAAATCAAAATTCAGAGTGACAACTTGAGAAGAGAGAGAAACATAGGGGTAATAGTTGTCTTACCTATACATATATGTAGTAGATTCTCAAAATGTCTCATCAAACATAAGGGGTCGGTGATTCTCTCCACGATCATTGGTCCATTGAAAACTTGAATCCTTCAAATTATAAACAATATTAAATTAAGGGCACCTCTTTGTCCCCACAACATGCCCACATCATGGATCATATAAAAATTTTACACACAAGGGGAAGAAACGTTTCGAAACCCTCTTTGTCTAAAAGTAAAAAAATCAGAGCCTTCAAAAGTGTCTTATCATGCTTGTATCATTTTATCAACAAAATGATTCTTCGAGCATCATCATCTTTGAACGTGTTCACAAGACTATACACATAACTTTTGGAACCAAACAAACGGCATAGTCGACGTTAATGTGACTCTTTAGGGAGAATACTAAGCCTAATTAATTTATATTTCTATAAAAAAAAAAAAACTTAGATTAGGCTTCTATATATCAATTTTATAATCTTTGTCCTTTATCATTCCGACATACTATATTAGTTCCTAGTTAATTGCATCCTACAATCTCATCATAATCGCTTTTAGGAGTTAGATTATATATATCCACAAAAAGCCATTAAGCACATCAAGATTTGGTGCTTCATAAATTCTATTAATTTCCAATACAAGCTTTCAATTTGTGACCTCAGAAGATAATGAAAAGCGACCCTGATTCCCATTAGCTTCTTAAATAGTTAATTATTTCCAAAGATATGATAGAACTACTATGGACCAAGAGAAATTCAAATCAATACAACATAAGGTGTCGAAAGTCAACTCATTTTGACTTTGAATATGAAGCAAGTGGACCTGAATGTTCTCAAGCTCAAAAGAATTTACTGATTGGTGATCTTGATTTTTTTTTCTTTTTCCACATTTTCGTTGTCTTTATGTGCAACAAGTTTTGCTTGTAGATAATAAATTTCAGTATTAATCAATATAATTTATTGATGACGTGTAAAATGATTCTTAATTGAATGGCTATGATCCCTCACTTGAATCAGCGTGACACCGCAGCTACAACGCCACATAATTTATGTTTGCATATGTAAGCATGTAGCAAATATTATCTATGAATACTTTCAAATTTTGTAATTGTTCTCCAATGTTATCTCATTTGTTGATTGAGATAGTAATATTCTGGCAAAAAATTAACATGGAAATAAAAAAATCTACAGCTTGTATATTTCAAACTATGAACATGCTTAAATATTATTTTTTTACTTCATAATATAGTAATTTTTTCTATTTTGTAATTTTTAAACGATTTATATAAGTTTCAAATATTTCATTAATTTTTGGCTCCAATTATATTTTTTGTCCATTAAAATAAAGTTTGAACATAAAAATTCTATGCATATATATATTACTCTAACCTTTCACTATTAAGTTGATCCTAATGATTCTTTTAATTTCAATTGTTAAACTAATTATACAAATGCAAATTTATTGATATTTGCAAATTTATTGATATAATTATGATGTCATCACATTAAATATCAACACATGATGATTTTACAATGAAATCATTGTGTATCATTTCATTAATGTCATGTTGTCACAATGTTACACCATTGCTACCATATCTCAACAATAATGTCATATATATCATTGTTGTGATTAAAGTTGTCAAAATTAGTTTGGTCCATTAGGTTAACACATTGAAGTTTAGCCAAGTCAAACTGAGCTATTTAATTTTAGACCAAAAAAATACTGAGTTAAATAACTTAACCCTACAAGCCAAGCAAGCCAGAGTAGTTAAAAATAGGCTCAAAAGATATTAAGTTAATTTTAAAATGTGTTTTTTACTTTTATTTTTATTTTTATATTTAAATTACATATGAAAATATTAAAAATAAATAAACACAATTTGGTCCATAGACCAAGTTAGAAAAAACATGGCTTGTGTTAAAATCAAGTCAAATTGAACTAATTCATTTCTCAAGGTTTTTATCAAATGAGTCACGTTTGACCAAATCAAATTAGCTCATTTGACAACTCTAATTGCAATAAAGGGATAATTTTTTTAAGAGTTAAAATAAAAAAGAAAAGAGTTATAGGGATTTAAAAGTACTTGAAGAAAAAGTGTTATATTTGTATGCACAAACAAATATTAATTTAAATATTAAGTATAATGTATAAATTTAATTTAAAATTAATATAAAATATAAACTTTAATAACAAAATAGAAATTATCTTTTAATTAATAATCATGCTTTCTCTCATAATTTATTTTTCTTGTTCAACGCTATAAGGTCATTTATACATCACATAAACACTTTAGATTCTCTTTCTTAACATTATACCATAATGTTCAAATGGTATGCAGTATGTTTAGATGTCATCTCATCTACGTATTTGAAGTATTCACAACTCCACACTTTCTATATCAAGAATCTAAATGAAAAATAGTAATAAAAAATTGCAAAACATTTATAAAAAATTAAACTTGGAATTAACCATATATCAAAATTATATTACCCTATAATTAGGACACCTTAATAAGTTTTGCCTAAGATTTCCAAGTCCTTGATGTATATAGTCTTGCTTTCCTTTGCATTTACAATAATTGACCATTAATGAAGACATTCTATTGCTACTCATTGAACTTCTTTCTTTCTCACATGAAACAAAATGATTCATGCTTCTTTTAATTATAACCCAAACCTTTTTTAGATTGACTTAAGCTATTAGTACCTCTGACTTTAACTCTCTTCATAGAAAGGGAACAACCAAAGCTCAACAATGGGCGTTATGATCTTGAGTATAGACAACAAGAACATAGTCACAATAGTTAGGTAACCTTATTAACAAGCAAAAAAATATTATGTTAGAAATGTCACTTTAAAGTAGTCTTTGACACATCCTGTTAACACAAGTAAATGACAGAGACTAAAAAGAATACAAACTATGTATAAGGATTAAAAGAAGATATTTCAAACTATCATGACTAAAAAAGAAAGTAAATGAAAGTATAGTGACTAAAAAAGAAAATAAAAAAAAATTACAAAAACCTAAAATGTATTTAAACAAAAATAATATACATTAGAAATGTCATATCAAAGTGGTTTTATTATGTCATTATAACACAAACAATGTTAATGAAATATAAATAAAAATGACTGAAAAGGGAAAAAATAGTATGTATAAAAAGTAAAAAATGATATTTAAAATTATAAAAATTAAAAGAAAAATAATTAAAATTACAACAATAAAAAATAAAATTAAACATAATTTAATATTATCTTTTGGACTGGTGAATATATCCGATAATTGGTTGACTAAATTTTGTAAATGAATTATATCTCTTTTCAATTTAATAATCATGTTTTTATAATATGATCAAAGGTGAGATTGATATATAATAATAATTTATTTTAATTATTTTTTTTTAAATATTTTATTTTCTTCCCTAATGTTTGGAAAAGTAATTAATTAAAATGATAATTGCCAAATTGAGCCATAAATATTTCTTTTTTGTTCGTTCAAGTTATTTATATTATTATAGATAGAAGATCGTACCCCATATATCACTACAACAAGATTTAGTATTACCGACAATTATTTAATGGTAATAAATTAATTTCCTCTATTTTATTATTTAATAAAAATATTAATGACTATTATATAATGGTCACTAAAAATGTATTTACATCACATCAAAATTTACTATTAGCGACAATTATTTGTTAGAAAAAACTTAAGTTCCACATCGACTAAAAATAAAATAATTAAAGAGTATATAAGTGAATGATAACTCTTATCTTACAAGTATGTTTTATAAGGTTGAGTTAGGCCTATAACTTACTATTCTAAGTTAGTATTTAGGAGATAAGATAATTAAAAAAATTTAAAAATATATACTTAGAAGATAACCTTCATCTTTTAAGTCTCACATCAATTAGAAATAAGGTAACTAAAGAGTATTTGTACTCATCTTACAAGTCCTACATCGACTAGAAATAAGATAATTAAAGAGTATTATAAATCTTTTCTTAAACTTTTAGCGACAATTTTAAATGCCAGTAACAAATGACACAAAAAGTTATATACTTTTCCCGACCATTATGAAGGTCTTTACCAGCATTTAGAATAATTGCCAATGTTTTAGCGACACCGCATACAATGACTAATGTGTGAAATGTCAGTAAAAGAATTTGTAGTAATTTTTATTGCCACTAAAAGTTATATTAAATGTCACTAAAAATTCATTTTGTTGTAGTATATATTTTTAATCTTTTTTGAGGACATATTTTAGTGAGTTATGGTGGAAGAATTGGAATATATATAATAGATCTAAATATTCTTAAATGAGAAAATACTAAGTTACTGAAAAACAAAAAACTAACTGTAAAGAGAAGTTATTGATGCAAATCATTACCATGAGATATAAGATTTCACGTTATAATATAACATAAATAAAGATAATAATCTGATTTAGTATATATATATATATATAATAATAATAATTTTATTTTTAAATTTTTAAATATTTTGATCTTGATGATTTCTTCTTGTTTCACTTGCTGTCTTTCCCAAATTCCTGAGTTCATGATATAGTTGCAGCAGTTCTTGCTACTTTTGTTGTAAGGTGATTACATATTGTAACATAACAGCTTCATTTTCATCAATTATCACCAAAGCTGCAATCCTTTGGTTTCACACAAGTTGAATCAATAGTGGCTGATTTGAGCTTTCCATTCTTTCCAATAATCCCACAGTTTTTAGTTCTTCTGGAGGCACTTTGTCACATGCTTTAGCATTACTGAAATTTTGTGTCACATGATTCTTGTTTCTAGGGCTTTTATAATGATTAACTTCCATCCTATTATTGGTAACTATTAGGATTTGAAGATGGTTGACCATCCAATTTTCTACGGTAGTAAATGTCACATGCCCAGTGGAAAAAACAAAACAGAACTCACATAGTAGGGGCTGCAAAAGTAAACTATGTGCATGTGAACTATGAACCTGGTGGAAAAAGGGCCAACATAATGAATTATGTTACTAAAATAGGAAGAAAAAATGGAGAAATGCTGAATAAATGGAAGAGGGGCAATAATAGGAGAACTTCTGAAAAATATTGGAGTTTATCGTTTAGAATTTGTAGCAATAAAAGGAAGAATTAATATTGTCTGGTTTTATTCATTCTTTTTAAGAAGCAGTTTTCTTAATTATTTATATTTTAAATTTGTGATTCAATGATCCTAGAAAATGGGAGAAACCATAAGGAAAAACTAAGAGAAATTTGTTAAGAGTATTTACTGCAGAGAAAGAAATTTTTTTAGAAAGTGAGTCTTAAATGAAGAAATTATTTGTTTAGAGTCTTAACAAATCAGTTAGATTTGTAGTATTCTGCAGTTGAAGGTGCTTGCAAGCAGTGATTTTGACATGTTGAATAGGCTTCAACAGCTAACAAACACTGTAACAACTGAACATTACAAAAGAAACTGAACTTTGTTACATAATTTAAGTCACACAAGCTTTATAAGCTTAGCTACTAGCTAGCCTATATTCTAATATATTCTTAACCCTTCATCGCATTTTATTGTGCACTGTTGTATTTGACAGATCACTTTGAATTTTGAACATGAAGTTGTTTCTTGGCATTCCTATTTTGTGTGCGAGGCATTACTATCTTTACACTCTTGACATGTCCAATTCCTAATACCTTCCTTGGCTTTAATTATTTTAAGGTCGATGATGTCCTCGAGACAAAGTTGGGACAAGAGTTTCAACTTGTTATGGATAAAGGAACGCTAGATGATTGCATCCTGATGGTCCTGTCAAGAGGTAAGAAAACATACTGTCTTATCCGTGATTCTATCATAAGTTTATTGGAATTATATATATATATTTTTTTTTACTTTATTGCTTACTGATTTGCTCTCCATTTAATAGTTTGCTTGCATGGTACTGAGAAATTATGCTTTTGTTTTCTTGATTTCCGAATGATGTATTGGGATTCTGTTTCAAGATTGGTTGCTCCTGGTGGAATACTTGTAAGCACTTCTAAATTTATTCCAAGTTCTAGGCGTTTGTGGGTCGTGGCATGAACTGTGCATGCCTATTACTTAGTGGGATTCTTTTATTCATTAAAAAAGAAGTCATTATTATTTTGATCTTGATGATTTCTTCTTGTTTCACTTGCTGTCTTTCCCAAATTCCTGAGTTCATGATATAGTTGCAGCAGTTCTTGCTACTTTTGTTGTAAGGTGATTACATCTTGTAATAGTACAATATAATAGTTATTATTAATTTTAAATGATTAATTTTTCTTATAAATAATAAAAATGAAATGTAAAACCAATAAATCTAATAAATATTAATAATTCTTAAATATTTTTATTAAAATAAAATATAAAATACGAATTATCTTAACCTATTAGTCTAATATGATGAATGTTCTTAACTCATAATATTAGCTACCGTAAATTTTTTGCATGTGTTGTTTAATTCAAAAGAAAATGAGACAATATTATGTGAGGTGATGTATTCTCTATGTCTAACAATTTCCTCTGTTAAAAATTACATTATTCAATAATAAGTTTGTTTGTTTGATTGTTTTATATTATTATTATTATTCATCTTCTATTATGAGGTTTGATTAAAAATGTAAAGACATATCCTTAAAAATAAATTCTATTATTTATGTATAAAATTGACACAGAGAGAGAGAGAGATGTACAGCACAGCAGAGAAAGAAAACGATAGTGACTGCAAAAGAATAGCAAAATAGTTGAAATTCAAAAGCCAGAAAAAGGACTTTACTAAACATGGCTTTGATAGTAATTGAACATTGGCATCCCTCACCTTGCGTATGTACTTGGATTATGTATTAACAATCATCATCATGTCTTCCATGAATCTGCATCTCAATGCAGCTATATATATCTTATATATATGCATGCATGTTTTCGAAAGTGATCACAATATATATATATATTTTACCAATCTTATTGTGAACTGGGAAACTCAGGAATAAATTTTTTATATATAGATAAAATTGAAACGTTTTTAGGGTGCTTATAACAAAATATTTAATTATAAATGCAGAGAAAATGTCATTCAAGAAAACGAAGAAATGGTTTAGTTTTCATATTTTATTATATTTGTCTATTTGGATTCAAATAATCCCACATTACTTTCGATATTTAATCAATAAAAGTTGAATGCGTGAGATTAATTTTTATACATTATCGGTGTAAATATTTTATATTATCAATTAATTAGAAATATTTATTTAATAATTACAACAAAGTTAATAATTTTACTATATATAATAATATATAAGTAGTTGACAACATAAAATAAGAAATTAAGGTGCGTTTAATACACAGTAAAGTATAATATTAGAAGAAAATCATATGACAAAATATTTGTACATTGTTTGATAAATAATAGATAATATAAATAAAATTTATTATAGTATTCTTTTTAATATTAGTTATTAAATGAATAATTATTAATTATCTTAATGAAGTGATAATGGTGATAAAATGATAGTAGTAATAATAATAATAATGAAAACAACGATGATAATAATAATATCAATAATGATAATAATAATAAAAATAAAAATACTAATAATGATAATAATATTGATAATGAGAGACATTGTGATAATGATTAATGACAATGATGATAAAAAGTAACGTGTTAGTAAAAGTTTAGGATGATAGTTAATAAAAAAATGACAAATTTTTTTTTTTAATATTTTGTATTTGATAAAAAAACTCAATTTATTAAATAAAAAATATTATTTTTACCATGTATTTTTTAATTTTACTTGTCTTATTCCATCTTATTTTTTAAAAATCAAACCCACCTTATTCTATATTGATAATTATAATTAAATTCAGTTAAAATTCTTAACAAAAAAATATATTTTATTGCAAAGCATAGTGAGTAGTAAATCATTTACCATAATAACAATATGAAAGTAATATATATATATATATATATAGGAATTAAAACCATTTTTTGTTCATTTTTCAAAATCAAAAATAATGTTTACAAATTTTAGATAAAAAAGAAAGAAAAAATTTAATAAGGACTAAAATCAAAATTTGTTTA